GTCCAGTTAGAGCGATAATGCAGGTATGTCTTCAAAGAGGATTCTGAACAGTGACTGATCTAACTTTTGCCCAAGGGTACAGGCAAATTTTTTCAGAGATTTTAGAAAGTAAGAAATTGTTTCAATTTCTAGACTAAACAGGTTCTTAAAATATAGGTTCTTAGGCAAGGGGTTTCACTGTATAGCACCATTTTATCAGTCGCTAATAAACAAATCGTTGTTGTTGTTGAAAACTACTGTTTGCTGCTTGACCGTTCCGGTACGACAGTGAGTTAGAAAGCTACACTAGCCAATGGTTGGGATTCTGAGATAGGTACCTTTTTCTAAAATCAGACAGATATATGTACATATATATATATATATATATATATATATATATATACATATATACATAATATAGTAATATAATGAATTGAAGATTTCATCAGCTATTAAAGTGCTCAATAGGTAAACTAGAGCGATGTGTAGATTTGCAGAGTTGGATTATTTGGTCGAAGACATTTATTGCTACTCAGAGTTTCATGCTCCTTGCGGAGCAATCATCAGGCAACTGCCAAAAATAACGGATACATATGAAGATGTACAAAATTTGAAAATACATATATACAGATATAGATATATATTATATATATATATATATATGTTGCATAAAAAAACGGTCCTTGTAAAAAAGCGTCATTTTTATGTAAAAAAGCTGTTTTTTTACAAATTGAGCGGTTGTAAAAATACTGCTTTTTTACAAAAATATATTTTTGTAAAAAAGCTGCTTTTTTACAAGTTACCTGGTTGTAAAAATACTGCTTTTTTACAAAAATATATTTTTGTAAAAAAGCTGCTTTTTTACAAATTAAGCGGTTGTAAAAATACTGCTTTTTTATGTAAAAAATCTGTTTTTTTACAAAAGATATTTTTGTAAGAAAGCTGCCTTTTTATGTAAAAATCCTGCTATTTTACCCATATAGACCATTTGACAAACCCATTTATCGAAGACAGGCTGTTTTCTATAGCATGGTTCGAACTTTTTCGTGCGCTTCTCAAACCGTAGATTATAATATATACGGCTAGTCACGTTCACGTTCCCGTGTCCCCTTTATTGTGGGGCTTTTAAATTCCCTTGTTAACTCGCTGACAGCGTTAAAAATTTACGTTCTTTTTATTATTTCTTCTTGTTTCCTTTGTCATTCAATTTTCCAGGACCTTCTAATTGTTGGATGCGAAGAAGGAACAGGCAGTAATTTCATTTGTTATGCTTATCATCGGCTGAGGTCACGCACGGCAGTAACTGCATGTTAGGCAATAACAGAATAGCTGGGTTGTTCACTGTCTTATTTATAAGCAATGCCTGTCACAATCTTTTGCAGCAACCAAAGCCTTCTATTCTCTCCTTCATTGCTACTTTCGTTTAAGCCGAAAACTGTACAGAATATTGTTCTGTATTATTTATCTATTTTCCCAAGGTTATCAGCTGCAATAATCGGTTTAACTGTCAACAAAATACTTGCCTATAATGCTTTGATGCTCTTGGCAGTGGACAAATAAATTATAACTCCATTTCTAGCATAAAATCTTCAGCAAGAATCAACGACAGCAAGTGTTAGGCAATTTCCTGTATTGTGTATGATGCGCTAAACTTCTATCACGGGATTCATGCTATGTTGAAATCCATGTTGATGCATGCAAGAGTGTCATGTCTGTGTTACAACTTTTAAGCTTTCAACATGATGTAGGAACATGTTCAGTCGGCTAATCAAGCAAAAGGAAACGCTAGCCTATAGCTACAAGCGTACATACACTCGCTTGTTAGTCTAATTTTTGCAATACACAGAGCAACGTTATAAGGCCATAAAAACAGCAGCCGATTTGTTTATAACAATTAGGGACTATAAAGGCGGTCTGTAACGTACGGCAATGCGTGTTTTATTTTAGAGATCGAGAAATAAGCCCGAAAACACTTATAAAGGCTAAACAACTTTAATATGAACACAAGCTGAATGCGCCAGCAACATTTAGTACGGGGGGTGACAACTCTAACAAAGGCTGTTTGGGCAGTCCTATGAATAACTTAATGTCCTCCCGGAAATTTCGTCGACCCTCCCGAATTTTTCGGTGGCATTCCCCATAAATGTTTAACTTCCCAAAATTGTTTTAACAATTAAAATTAAAATTTTGATTAGCAGCTTCTTGTTAATTATGTAACTTGTTAATTATCTAAACGTAGTTATTTTTCGTTAGAGGGTATCATGTTAACACAGAAAGGCTGTCAAACTTTTTAAGTATATAAAATCGTGTTTTTTTGTTTTTTAATCACCGACGAATCAGGCGAGCGCTGAAGGGGCCAACCACTAGGGGGGTCTGGGGGCATGCTCCCCCAGCCGAAATTTTGAAATCTTGGTGCTCTGAAACGCCATTTCTAGTGTTCTGAGAGGACAAATTCTGTCCAAAATGTTCTCTAAATCAGTTGTCCTTTTTATGCTTATTTTTATTGGCGTGACCTCGCGTA